AAGTATATTGTTCAGATTAGGTAAAAGGTTTGAAATAGTTTTATAGGCTAAGATTTGAAGGAAAAAAGGTCATTATAAGTATAAAAAATAAAATAAAGTAAAAATAGAATTTATTACAAACACTGGGAAATAAACGCATGGCTTTTTATCGTTTGAAAAATTTTATCATAGCCTAATGAATAATATTAATTTGTGATTAATTAAAGACAATTACTGACTTGAAAATCTTTAAAGGTTAACGGGTTAATTAAATTAAAGAACAATATTATATATGAAAAATATCATACTTGATTGTTTGTCTATTAGCAAAAGAGTAACATTACTTAAAGACATATAAAATGGCTGAAAGTTTAAAATATAGACATAATACAGTAATAAAAGAAATGCCTAAAGTATATTATCGAAATCTCCTAATGGATCCGCGGTTACAAAATCATTAAATACAAGGGTCTTCAATTCATTTATATTTTCTGAACTTTCTTTAAGGCAAATTATATAGCTCTTCTGATTTTGGACGCTTTTGCGGATCAGCATCCCAGCATTGTTTCATTATATCCTTGTAAAATTGTGGTACCGTCTCAGGAATTGTTGGTCGTATTCCATCGCAAATATAAAGCATCAAATTGCTATCATGATCTAGGCCATAAAACAGAGGTACGCCACTACAGCATTGATACATCAACATTCCAGCACTATAAATATCATCAGCAGGAGTATATGAGTATATTCACCCCTAAGCAACACTTCAGGGGCCATATATGCAAGACTTCCGTACACCACAATTGATTCTTGGTCGGAAGGACCTGTAAGCCCTAAATCAGCCAATGCCCAAGCACCATTTTTATACATAATATTGCCGCAGTGGAGATCCTTATGGACAATCCCATAATGATGTATAAATTTAAGGGTAGAATAAATATGAAAACAAACTATAAACTTTCTTCCAAGTTAAAGTTTCATAATTTTTGAAGATATAATCTCGCAAATCTCCTTCCAATTTTCTCAACACTAATACAAATCTTGTGTTAGAGGATCTCTCGTTATTCCATAGCAATCTACTACTAAATAACCTTTCGAGGCAAGCATTACATGAAAAATTTTATTATTAATGTCAAAATTGTCATACCTCATTTGAAAGTCGATCATTAGCCGTGGCTGATCCTTTAAGAAATTTTAAAACAACTGGGATGTTTCGGGTTCGTTCGAACAACTGCATCTTTTTATCAAATGAAGTAATAAGCCCTTTTGTCCAAGTAGCCGTATAAATAGATGAACATCCGCCTTGCTTGAAGAATTCTATAATTTCGAGATGAATATATGGTATCCATTCAGTCAGCGCACGCGGTAAAGGCATTTGCAACTGTGCCTCTCGAATTATCTCACCAATTTTTGAATTATTTGAAGTCCAATTACTAAAGTCTTTTCTTAAACATTCTCCCAAGCAATGTTCACAATCATCAATAGTGTATCCAAATTTTTTACATGTCGAGCAAATATACTTCGACCTTGTTTAATTAGGTTAAAAAAGTTTTTATCCCAAGTAGAATCTTTTATAGCAAATTGTTTTTCTTCTTCGCTTAATTCAGAACTATTCTTTAACGAATGTATAAGTTCTTCATCAATTTCATTCCAGTCATCACATTGTGCATTTGC